GGGTGTCAGGATTATGTGAGGAAGGACAAAAAGGACAGTGGGGAAAGAGTCGACAGTTGTGATGACAAAGAAAAATGAAGAATCTACCAGGGATGTCGAGGAAAACAATTACTGCAGAATTACAGGTATGTTTCTATTGTTTTTGTGGTCTGTATGTTTGTGTACTTAGACTATTTTCTATTAGTAGTTGTAAGAGTTGGTTAGAGACATTAGAGGTTAGTTGCCAGCTCAACATTGAATGTTTTATAATTGAGCTGTATATAGTTGCATGTGTGGGTTAGTATGAGTTTTATGCTGGATTTTGGGTAAAAGATTGTAAGGGAAGAGAATTGGAGACCTCTCTCAAACCAAGCCTATCCAAACTGTACCTATTTTGGATATCAATATAGTATTCTTGTTGAAAATCAGAGATTGAGTTGCAGATGGTTAGAGTCCCATATCTGAAATATATGGAGACAATTGAGTGTATATAAGACCATGAGCACCTTCCCCAACAAGTTAGTTTTTATGGTGGGTTAGGGCCCAAATTGTATAATTTGGTATCAAAGCCCAACTCTCTCCGCACCAGTGGGCCTCTGATGAACTGTTATTATGTGGTCATTCAGTCGATTCGGCGCTAGATGAACGGTCGGGGTGCGACCGAGAAACTGCCAGCAACCGAATTTGTCCCAATGTCGTGGTCATCGTTGTTTAAAGGGGGCGGTATTATTAGAGTCCTACATCGGAGAGAGAGGGATTTGGGGACAATATGTAAAGAGGATCAAACCTCCACTCTTAAACTAGCTTTTGGGCTGAATTCTACTCACTGGGTTTGAGACTTAGTTGGACTCATTATGGATGAGTGGATTCTATCAATTTGGGACCTAACTCCACCACAAAAGCTAGCTTATTAGGGGATGGTGGCCATGGTCTATATACACTCAATTGTCCCCACATATTTCAGACGTGGGACTCTAACAATATCACTTCCTTTAGACAGCAATATCCATGCCGTTGGGGGCTTCTCGGCCGCTGGCGGCTACACAAGTGTGAATGCTCCTCTCTCGACCATCCCGCTAGAGTCGCATCGACCGCATGCCCACAAGATAACAGTCGTGACTCTGTCAGAGGCCCAACGGTGAGCAGAAAGTTGTGTTCTGATACCAAATGATACAATTGAGTTCACAACTCCACTACAAAATCTAACTTGTTAAGGGAGGATGTTGATGGTCTTATATACACTCAATTGTCCCCACATATTTCAGATATAGGACTCTAACACAGATCCTATCAGTCTGCCCAAATTGTCAACAAAATACTTGGCGTTGGTTTCGGCATTATAGCTAGGATCAATAATCTTAGCATGCACTTGTGCTGCTAACCTAAACTCTTCTTCTACCGCCTCCGTATCATGATCAAGCCCAAATCTCACTATCCGGTGACACTCAGATGCCACATCGGCAATTATAGAGTCCAAGAGATCCAAGAAAAGCTTAGAAGAAAGCTGCAAACAGAACTCAACAGCAAGAAGAAAGAAAACCCAGACCTAGTTTCCATGGAGAAGTAAACTCTGGAAAGACTGAGAAGTGAGAAATGCCATAAAAAAAAGGAAGCTTCAGTAACTATTGAAAAGTTTACTCTCTTGAATTCACATAGGCACCTAGAATCACTGATAGGGGATAAAAGACCCACAACACGCAACACTAGTAGATCTTCTTTGTATTCCCTCAGACTACTCAACATTATCAAGCCTTTTCATTATTCAACACGACATATATCAGTAGCTCATCTATCTAATCTCACTTATCGACCAAAGACGCCCAAAACCATATTATGGAAGAAACTAGAAGATCAAAGCATAGACATTAGACCGACATGAGACAAGGCAGAAGAGAAGGGTGCAGACTACATAACGACTGAGACTCTATGACCTTGTCAATGATCCTAGGGCTATACTAAGTCAAGATTTAAGTAAGATAATTAGTAACTCTGTTCATGAACACATATGTACATAGGTAAACTGAGAATATGCAATGACACGAGAAGAAATACCTTAGTATCAGAAGATGTATCAACCTCTTTCGCCAGAGCCATTGATTCCAATAAAACCGGCACACTCAAGAAAAGATATATTGTGAAAATATCGCAAAATCTTCCAAAAAAAAAACTTGAAAGACGGAAAAAAAAGGGAATGAAGTAAATTTCAAAGATTCATGCGATGGGGAAGCGATCGCTCAAAAAAAAAAGAAAGAAGAGACAAGTTGGATTCATTTGAAGAATTCGTTCGGATCACAAACCCTAGGACACGCGAACTTTCAGAGAAATGCAAGAATTTGAACCAAAAATTCAAAAACAAGGACAATCACTCTCTCGCTTGTTCTACCAATGTCAGTTGTAAGTTTTCGTTACAGAAATCACACAAACACACGCACTTACTCTGTCTATATAAACAAGTTCAGAAATCAAAATCGCCATCGATACAAAAATAGAAACAAGAAAGCTTACGCAGAGCAATCGCAGTGGCGATGGGAGTTAGGTAGAGCGTTTCTTCGGATTCTGCAAGCATCATACAACTCAGAGAGAGAGGGAGCGCGGAAGAGTGAAGGGGGGGTTCTGGCATTTTGCGGTGCGGTTCCCCATGAAGGACCAATCATTAGACGCCGTGGCACCACACATCGGCTTCACGAAAACGACGAGCGTTTTAAATGCAGAACCGTAGAACGGCGTGGTGTTTATTTCCTTACGAAAATGATCGCACTGTATGTCGTCGTAGTTTGGGCTGAAGAGAGAAAAGTCCATTTTATTAAGGCCCATTTGAGGTCTTCAACCTCGTCCCATAGCTGATGCTGACAATTGTATATGACTGCCACTCCCAACTTGAAGGAAAATAACACATTTCTTTTTTTCTTTTTGATCAAAGGTTGTTTAACGATTTGTGTACATGATTGAAATTCGAGTCATAATATATTAAAAAAAACGTGATTTTATAGTTGGAAGTAGCTCTATGATCATGTGATTTTATGGCTGGTGCTGATAGCAAAGTTGCTGGAAGACAAACTCCCAAAGCCAAGTAGGGTTCCCACCACAAACATTTTCCAAATGGGCATACCTGAAGCAGGATAACAAAAGGACAAAAGACAAAACTAGAAGACGAGAGTAGCCAACAAGGCAGATGTTAAGGAAACAGTGAGATTGTCGTCTATTTGGGTGTGGATGGGGATTGATTCCACCACGGCCGACGCAATCGAGATTACCAAGAAACGGAGAATCATTCCCCAACCACCCTCCATGCAATTGAATGAAGCAAAGTAGTGCATGTACCTGTCACAGTTTCTCTTGTCATCAACAAGCAACTCAGTTCAATAGTTGTGATCTGAGGGAGAGCTACTTCTTACCCGAGGGAAGCTAAAAAAACCCTGCTGTTGCCATTGCAATGCTACCGGCTATTGATTTGTTTCTGTTGTAAGGAAGCTTCTCAGTTCCGAGCCGCCTTCCTACAATGTCAGCCATTCCTATAGGGAGGATTGGTAACACAAGGTATGATTCCTATATCTCAAGAAAGAACCGACATGTCGGAAGGATTCAGCTAACTGTGTACCATCTCCTGCACAAAGGTTGCATACAAGAGCAATCGCAGTCGGGGGCATCCTCCAGTACAACAAACAAGCTGAAGTGATTGCTAATGCGTAACAAAGTGGCCCCTTAAGCAGTTCCCTGTTGCCCAAGGCATCTACCAGTGTTTTGTGAAGTGGCAGAGAGAATGATTGATTATATACAATTCAGTTTACCTGCGGTCTCCGTATCGGCTTATGGACTTGATTGCTCCTTCATCGTGGTATACTCCAAGACCCAGTAGCAGCATCCGTATTATATTAACACCAGGGATAAGAGAAGCTAAAATTGCCCCACGAAGTCCAGAGCTGAAAATATGGGTACATGAAAGGGGATGAGGCAAAAGTTGCCCATAAAAACCATTTTCTTAGGGGGCATCATTACCTGAAGAGGGGCCAGCAAGTCATAAAAACTAGCCCGAAACTTATATGCACAAGCTTCCTGATGAGTTTCTGAAAACATGAAGAAGCGAAACTTGTAAACCAGTCAGAAATTAAGACATAAAGACAGAGGTGGGGACCTGGTCGAAGACGCGGAGCTTGCCCATCTCAGCCCGGAAGCGGAGGCATGCGAAGGCGATGGCGGTGGAGATTGCAGACGCCCACACATCCGACAGCACCTCATTTCCCGGAAACATGACAGTCTGATTGCTACTAGTATAAAGTCTTCTTTTTTGTGTCAATACTTTAGGGACTAAATCGTGCACGATTCATTCATTCTACACAAACTTTATTTACTATTTAATTCCGAAATATATTTTATATCAAAAACCTTTAAAAAAAATTGGAGTCAAATAAAATGAACATCACGAGGTGGGCTATAAGATGGCCCCATCCCATTTATTGTTTGTTTTAATTGGGCCGCCAACTTCCCTTGCTTCTAAAAGAGACGGACGCGATTTTTGTAACTTTCATACGGCCTAATTTGTTTTTTTTTTAGCGTTTTGAATGGAAGAGACTTTTCGAATTTTTAATTTTTTTTAAAAAAATTGACAATTAATTTTAAAATATTTTTTCTAAAAATTTGAAAAATTATTTTCATAAAAAGTGTATTAAAAACTTTAAAACTCCTTTTGTGTTAAAAAAAAACAAAAATTAAAAATAAAAAATATTACCATTTAAACCTTAATCTACCTGGCGAATAATAATAATAATAAATATTATCATTATTGGAATTTCGTGAGAATGTAATATTATATCTCGTATAAACCACAACGTGAAGTAGATACACATACATGCATCTATTTGCATATGTGTAGATACACTCATTTAATTTAATTTTATTTTTGGACGGTTTTCCTTTTAATACAATCCAATATTTGGTAAATTTGTACAAAACCAGATTCCAATTGACAATTCCAATAAATATCCATTTTCAACAGATATGCCCCCATTTTTTTACCAAAAAAAATGACAGAAAGCGGGTTGATCAGAGAACACAGATTGCACCCAACACTCTCATCTCCATCGCTCGGGCAAATGTATTCCATTCTTTTATGCATTATTCGCCACCCTTTGTACAAAATATAATCATAAGGTTTCTCGATTATTTGCAGGACATGGGAAGCCAAGGTCACGAGATGACGAATTCCAATGTGTTGTTTCGTGCATTTTCTGGATCATCGGAAGAACTGTCTCATGCCAGCGGAGAAGACAAAACTCAGATTAAGAAGGATCAAAAACCTATCCGGTAAATTTCATATATCTACATTCATTTTTCTAATACTCATGTGATTGGTCTGATCAAGATAGTTTAGTTAATTAGTATCTAAAAATGTACATATGATTATTAATTAAATCAAATGGCAAAACGCGTCGTATCGACCATATTATTATTATAAAATACAATACGCTGCATGTAGTAATATTTATCTGTTTATTTGATCGATTGCCATCAAGGTAAATCCTATTTTCTCGCGTCATATACATCTACCGATCGATATAAAAGTATAATGAAAATCAATTAATTTTTATCAAAATGTGATGAAACATAGTTCAATTGTAGTTTTCAGATATTAAAAAGCAATAAGGATTAATTATGATTTAAGAGTAGAGGTAAAAAAACAAATATGCATGTGGTGATATTTGGCCAAATATAATCTGTAGTGTACTTATTTCTGTCCAAACTAATCGTTAATATTTATGGGCTACCGAGAAAATCAGTGCGATGACGAGCAAGGAGTACTCCAAAAACTATCGGAGCAAACAGTTCCAAAAGGTGGCGAAACTCGAAGCAGAAGCCAAATCTCTCCAGGTAAATATTATTATGTCGTATATCCTCTCCTAATCGCATGGCACATATAAGATTATATGTACATACATACATACGTATATATAAAAAAAAACAGGCGGAAATAGTGGCAAAACGTCCAGCGATCAAGTGCAAGGAGGAAGAGAACTTGATGTTACGGGCTGAGAATGATATGATGAGGCAGAAGCTATCTCAATGTTCTTCCCAGCTCATGCACAAACAAGGTGTCCTTCGTATCTTGGGATTAATAAGATTCGGTTTGAACATAGAGATGATATTCAATGGATGTAAACCTGCAGCGGAATACAGAGCACTGAAGGAGGAGATAGAAAGGATGAAGAAGAACATAGCAAGCAGCATTATAGGGTGCCCGGGGGTTCTGAACAACTTAGACTCCACGACCATCCAGCTCCTTCGATTCTCTCTCCTGCGCCAATCTGGACCCTCCACCACCGATCCACCCCCTCCCCTTCTCCATCAACCCTTTCCTTGATTCCTTCCTTCCTTACATTGTAATAGTTAATGAACTCCCGAATATAACAATGTTCTCTAGAATTTCAGAGTATTTCTCTAGAGTGATATTTATTTCAAATTATTATTAGCTTCTAAATAGTATCGTTAACAAAACATATATATGGCTTTAATTTGGAGAATAAATTTTCTTTGATATATATATATATATATGTGTGTGTGTGTTAAAGTACCCTTATTTCATAAACATAAGCCTCATATATATACCTTTGTAACTTTTTTTTTCTTCTAAACTAATCAAGGATTAATGATACCACACCACCACATCTTTTTTTATTACTTTGATTTTGCAAAATCTCCCTCTCTCTCTCTATATATATATATGTATATATTCTGTTATGTTCAAAGTGACATATACCCCTTCATTTGCATTCAAATCACACTGTATTTATTCAAGATTTTATTGGATTCGCACATAAATTAGCAATCATTTATTTGTATATTTCTTTCCTTTTAAAATGAATTAATTATTGAAAATTCATTATCCAACAGTCAATTCAATTAAATAAGCTAGCACACCGTAGATCATCATCATCATCGCCACACCATCATCGTTGTTGTTTGTTGTCGTTCTTTTTAGTTATTATAAAATTAATTAGCGAATGAAATAAGTATTACACAAGTTCATGTCAACTCAATAAATTTTTTTTTGGGTTTAATATCCAATTAAAAATTTTATTGGCATTTCACGTCAAAATAAATTTGTTTACTTCAACAACTGTTATTTAATATAAATCACACTTTCAAATTTATATATTATTAAAATCTACTTCAAATATTGTTTTTATAATATAACTATGTCACGCTGTATTTTGTTCTATTAGTCATCAAGAGACATTTGCAAGTTTTACTATTCCAACGTTCCACAGTTCCATTTTATTATTTTATATTGATAGATGTATTCCTTATATCCGTATTCCCATATTTGCAATTAATATTCCTTATATCCAAGTTTTATTATTATTAGACTATAGTACTATTTTCTATATTTGTCATTGATTCATCATACCATTCGCCACCAAAATATTGCAGTTTTTGTTTTTTTTCATCTAAATCACCTGGCTCATGCTTGTTGTTATCCATGAAAACGCGGGGTATTTATGTGCATTTCGTAGAGCTCGGGAAAAAAAAAACTGAGAATAAATGTCCAGATTAAGAAAAGAAGCTGGAATATCCTCGTGTGTACCACCTAACACTACTCCCATCCCAAGGGCAACATTGGAATTTTATCAGTATACTTTCTGTATATAATAAAACCAGGGCATATACGCAAGAGCCATTGTCTCGTCTGTCTCTCAACCCATGTATGTACTTACCTTCATGTCCATCCATTGCCGCATCGGATGATGTCGCACTGTATATTCTTGTTATATAGTTATCTGATTTTTATTTTCTCGTTTGATAAGCAGCTGATGAGATAGATCGAGATGGAGGAGAATGATAATAATAAAAGCAACGGGGAAGAGCAAGGCATGTTCCTGACTTTGGCATCGCCGAGCATGCCGGTGCCTTTGGCTCCAAAGTCGTTCCAAGTGTGGCGTGAGACGACGCCTCCTCCCCAGCCCTCCGATTCGAATCTGACGGTCCTCGTCGACTCCTCCGCCGACGACGGCGGTGAGAGTTCCGGTCCGAAGAAATTAGGTTTCATCAACTATGAAGTCGAACCTGGTCTCACCATTCGCTTACGTCACAACATCGATTACGACATGGATCCTAGGAAGCTCAAACGGTATTAATCAGCCTTGTCTTGATTACTTATAGATCTACGGTACATTTATTCTCAAATACTTGTGCGCAACAATACATATAATTTTTTCTCTTCTGTAGTGTAATTTCGAACCGTGTGTCGGCCCAGAAGTCTAGGATCAAGAAGCTTCAATACGTTGCTGATTTAGAGAAGAAACACAAGGAGCTTGAGGTAAGTGTGAGATATATATTATGATAATGCATATCTAAGTATATGAATTTGCGTATATTAATTGGGATACATATGTATGTTCTGATTTCCCCTAATTTTACCAGTTCGATGAATATAGATATGTTACGTTTTAATATGCATGTGTATAATGTTTTCACTTAATATATAAAATATGCAATCGTAAGCTCTTAATTTGTGGGTACGTACGCACAGATGCAGGTGGCGGTGCTTCGTCCGCAAGTTGCAACGGCGAGAGAGCATAAGCGGTTTGCCGAAATGGAGCAAAGGGATCTGAATCTGCGTATCGCTGCTTGCAATGAACATTATCGACGAACTGAGGGTACCAAAAAACACATAAGAAATGCAATATGTAGTGATCATGAGTTTTACTACGTACATTTATAACGATGTAATCTGTTTTTATATATATAAATGTTTGATAGCCGAAATAGAGGCGAAAAAGGTAGAGTTCACAAGGCTGATGAGGAAATTGGCATTACAGCAACAGGAGAGAGGATATGATGAAGGGGGAGGAAATGAAATGGTTTGGGGAAACGGGTTATCACAGCCTTTTGACCCTAACCAGAACCTGAATGAACCTTCTGCTGCTGCTCTCATGATCCCGTATTCCCTGCTTCATCCCGATATCAACATGCCCCCACCAAGGCCTTAATTAGGTGAATGATCTTCATCCTTTATGCACGGTTTAGTTTTATGATAAATTACATTATATATATATATATATAGTGGGAGTGGGTTCAGGATGGTTAGGTTCCTTGATAGCAGCTCGTGTTTTTGTTAGTCAAAGGTCTGATAGAACCAAAAATGTTTTGCTTTTCACATTTAGGTGTAGGAAAATGCCATTTTTTGCACTCGTTTTTATGTAAACACAACGGCTATATTATATATACACGTTGATAATTAGAATCAATGATTGGCATGCAAACACTACTGCACTGCCCTTTGGCTTTGTCCTATTTGCCCTCAGCTTTTCAAAACTTCCCCCCTTTCTTACGTTCTCGTTAACCCATTCAACACTGTATACGCACGCATTCATTATGTATAATGAAACATTACATACATATATGATGATAGATATATAGATATTTATAAATGTAAATATACAGATTATAATACCGATTTATGCATGCATATATGTACAATGACAATTGTGTGCCCTCATTCTTGTTCTTTCGGTTGGATCAGCATCGAGAAGAAAAGGAACAAAAAGCAAAGCCCAAACTCTCTCGATCTCGTTTGGATGATGTACTGTCAAGACTCGAGATGGATTCGGCACATTTCTACCTTGTTCTTTTTTATTTGGAGTCTACCTTTTTTTTATAATGTCATTTGTTGTCATTGATACCCAATTCGCATAATAATAATAATAATAATTAACAGCACAAGTAAAATAAGTTTTTCTATTGGGCTTGACTTCATACTCTGTTAGTTGGGCTTTTACTCGTAGCTTACAAGTTTTTGAAATTGGGGAATAAGCCCAATATTATCCCACCCAGCCTCTCTTGCCCGTTTGTTGACTTCGTGTCGTTTTAGCCTTGCCCGTGATTAGAGTCGTACAGACAAGTTTCAGATTCTGTCACATGGGCACGTGACCACACGTCTCTCCCTGTAAATTTTCTCCTCCTAAACCACAAGGTTCTTATATATAATATATATTGCATATACATCTTTGTATTATAGTTTATGGACAAAATTTGAATTAATAATGTTCACCTAACCCTCAATTATTTGCCATCTCTCTCTCTCTTTTTTTTAAAAAAAAATTTAAAAAGAGCATTGGCATGTGTTTTCCAGATGTGTGGAGAGAACAATTCACCGATAGTTTTCTCTTATTGTTTTCCATTTAATATGTAATGAATAAAGTCTGATTAGATTTGTCGGTCCATATCCATGATTAGACACTTCATCTCAGCAGCTAAAACTAGACAATAGCTTTCACAGAGTTGAAAACATTCGTAATTGCCAAAACCTTTGAAATATACGAGTGTTCTGGATAATGAGTGAATGAAAAAGACGAGTAAGGATGGGTCAAGTAGAGATCTGGCTTCACTTCCTTTGCTTTTCCTTTAATCAAAACTGATTTAAATTTACCAAAAAAACCCAAGGTTTTGATAAAGTCAACGATAAAAAGGAAAGAATCATGTGATGACACTAGTCGTATGAACCATGACGTGAGAGTTGATAATGCAGTGGGTGATGAAAATTTCAACCAAACCGGGATTGGGGTTCGAACCGGAGGTCTGACACGTGGCCAATCATTGGAGTTGGCTCACTTGTTCCGCTAAACACCGAAAGCGAAAAAGCCATGGAAGAGGTCCCCTGTTGTTCTCACTATATGCATATATGTAGAGAAAAATAGCTCTGATGAGAATCTTCGCCATCACTAAAAAAAAAAAAAAAAAAAAAAGGGCCACTTTTCTTTGGTTTTCCCGAGGAAGTAAAACATCCCACCTCCTCTTCTCTATTGACCGACCGTGGAGGCTCCAGAGACAGGGAAGGGTGTCTGAGCCTCCATTTCCCAACTGTCAACTTTCTTTCCTTTTCTCGCTGAACAAACACATCCTTATCTGCTGACTCCATTTCCTATCCTTTTGCACAATAAGCCTCTCGCCTGGTTTGAAAATCGCTACAAACGCTCAGACAGTCCCCCCTTTCCCTCGACATTTATCCCCTAATTTATGAATCTGAGGTGACTGACAATATCCGTTTCTAATCCAAGACCCTTCCTTTTATTTATTTGTATCCCTGGAATCTCATTTCAACCTCTCGCCAAGCTCCATGTGATTGCAGAATGCGTAATCTGAAGCTCTTAGAGAAATTTAAGAGCACTCAAATTCACGCCTTGAATTCCCAAGACTCATCCTCTAGCGGCACTAATGGCAGCCCTCGATTCAAATTTCTAGGTCACTCAATATCCAAGAAAACCACTCCAACACCAGCCTCTCGGGTTCTTCTTCCCTATGGGTTCCCGACCACAGACCTCCTTGAGCCTCCGTTGGACTCTTTCCTCAAACCCATCGATTTGGTGGAGACATTATCAAATCTCTTCCGGAGAATTGAGTCCAGTTCCGAATCTGAAAAGTCGATGTTGTACGTCGAGCAGTACGCTGCTCTTCGAGGGCTCGGCGATGCTAAGCTATCGCGTAGATGTCTGCTCAACTCTAGGCAACACGCCATCGACGTCCCCTGTAAGGTTATTTTATCTGCTTGGTTGAGATTCGAGAGGAGAGAACACGAACTCGTGGGCGTTAAATCCTTGGACTGTAACGGGTTTGTTCTCGAATGCCCGAGTGATAGTTTAATTCATGGTTATGATATGAATCGAGTCAACGAGCACTGCAAATGCCATGTAGCATATAATGAAGGCTCTGGTGAAGTCTTGGAGGCTGAAGAATTTGAGGAGATTTTGAGTGTGGAGGAGGACTGCGACATTTTGTTCAGTGTTGGTCCAGCGGAGGTCAAGTGTGTTAGGTCCCGTATCGCTGCACTTTCTCAGCCTTTTGAGGCGATGTTGTACGGCTCTTTCATGGAATCAAGAACTTCCCGGATCGATTTCTCGGAGAATAGCGTTTCAGTGGAGGCGGTGAGGGCATTGAACGTATACAGTAGGATTCAAAGGGTGGATCTGTTTCGAGCTGAAACTGTCTTGGAGCTGCTTGGATTAGCTACTAAGTTCTGTTGTGACGATCTCAAGTCTGCTTGTGACGCTCGTCTGGCTTCCTCGGTTGATAACATCCATAAAGCTTTAGACTTCATAGACTATGCATTGGAGGAACGTGCACAACTTCTTGTATCTGCTTGCTTGCAGGCAATTCTGCGACAGCTTCCTCAGTCTCTCTATAATCCCAGAGTGACGAGACTCTTCTGCAGTTTGGAAGCAAAAGAACAATTAGCTGTTCTGGGCTCGAACGCTTTGTTCTTGTTGTACTACTTCCTTAGCCAAGTTGGCATTGAGGAGAATTTAGCCACTGGCACATTATTGATTCTGCTCGAGAGAATGAGAGATTTCTCGGGCGGGAACTGGCAAAAGGCCCTAGCTTTGCATCAAATCGGCTGTGTTCTGCTTCAGAGAAAGGATTACAAAGATGCCCAATTTCATTTCAGATTAGCTTCAAGCTTGGGTCATATCTATTCACTGGCTGGCGTTGCAAGAACTGAGTATAAACAAGGCCAGAGATACTCAGCGTACAAGCTAATGACCCATCTCCTCTCTAATCACAAACGACATGGGTGGATGTATCAGGAGAGGTCGTTGTACAATGTCGAGAACGAGAAACTAAATGACCTGGCAGCTGCAACTGAGCTCGACCCAACTTTGACCTTTCCTTACAAGTACAGGGCAGTGATGAAATTTGAAGAGAAGCAGGTTAAAGAAGCCATTGCAGAGATAGACAGGATCATAAGATTTAAGCTGACACCAGACTGTCTAGAACTGAGGGCTTGGCTATACTCAGCCAGTGGTGACCATGGCAGTTGTTTGAGAGATATTAGGGCACTCTTGTGTCTGGAACCGAACTGCGTTGTGTTTGGTGGAAGAGTGAGGGGAGATGAGATGGTCGAAGTTCTAACTAGACGTCACATCAAGCAACAGGAGGAGGAGCAGAGTGATGGGGATTGTTGGGTGAGGCTTTACGATAGCTGGTCGGCTGTAGATGATATCGGGTCATTGGCCGTTGTTCAACAAATGCTTCAGAGTGATCCCAAGAAAAACTTCCTGAGGTTTAGACAGTCTCTTCTTCTCCTAAGGTAATAAGAGGTTTTCAAGTTGTTGGGGAGTTGCGATCTAATTATTTGTTCAGTGTTTGACAATGTGTGACATATCTTCCAGATTGAATTGCCAGAGAGCTGCGTTGAGGTGTCTACGTCTGGCAAGGAACCTCGCTGCTTCTGAGGCAGAGAAGTTTGTATATGAAGGTTGGATGTTATATGACATGGGTCATGTCGATGCAGCTCTCGATAAAGCCGAGAAGGCCATCTCGATTCAGCGTTCTTTTGAAGCGTTTTTCCTTAAAGCTTATGTGCTGGCAGACAAGAACCTCGATCCGGTGGAGACCTCTTCTGTTATTCATATTCTAGAGGAAGCTCTCAAGTGTCCTTCAGACGGGCTACGCAAAGGACAGGTGACAGAAACTTTTTCCCATTTCTTTCTGTACTAGAAAGTAGAAATCAACTGCCAAGAGCCTCTATTCACATAAATTGTTCTTTGTGATTTCAAGGCTCTGAACAATCTCGGAAGCATCTATATAGATTGTGGGAAGCTAGATCAGGCCGAAGCTGCATATATGAATGCTTTGGACATCAAACACACGCGTGCACATCAAGGGCTTGCGCGTGTTTATTTTCTGAAGAACCAACGTAAAGCTGCATATGAAGAGATGACAAAGCTGATTGAGAAGGCATGTAACAAAGCCTCGGCATACGAGAAACGGTCGGAGTACTGTGAACGCGACAGAGCCAAAGAGGATCTTGACATGGCCACATCACACGACCCTCTCAGAACCTACCCTTACAGATACAGAGCTGCTGGTAAAATCCCTCTTCTTTTCATGGAAAAGAGAACTCCTGAATATAACATAACATATGAATGGTGGCGAATATGATTTGTACAGTAATGATGGATGACCAGAAAGAGAGGGAAGCAGTGGAAGAGCTATCAAAGGCGATAGCATTCAGACCGGAATTGCAAACACTGCATCTGCGGGCAGCGTTCTATGAGGCCATGGGGAAGCTGTCTTTGGCTGCTCAAGACTGTGAAGCTGCTCTTTGTTTGGACCCTAACCACAGTGATACGCTCCATCTCTACTACAGATCCAAGACTCAAGCTTGTCTTGACATACAAGATCAATAGATATCTCAGGTATATCTATACGGATTTTTCCTCATACATATCTCAACTCTGTATCTTGATCTAAACCAAAAAAAAATGGAAAAGAATTTGCTGTCAAACACTGGACTTTCCTTCTCCAGTATCTCCGTTGTTCTTGTACAAATGTTGTAAAGAACTCTGCCGTCTATGGGATGTTTGAGTTTGCCTCCCTTAATTATTTCTCTCCACTTCTTCTTTTCGTATATGTTTAGATTCGTATCTGTGTTGTTTGTGCTATGATCCTTTTTTTTTATCACTCGGTATTTTTTTTATAAATCTTCGGTGGAAAATTATACACAATCTGATATATGGTGCAGAAGATGATATCATAGCTTTACATCGTATTTTGTGTATCTACAGAGAATTTCTAAGCAGAAACACCAGGAAGACGGCCCCTTTTCTCCTCTTCCTCCGCTTTAGCTTCCTTCAGTGGATGTAATCTCCAGCTCCGCCCACCATGATGGTGACAGCCTTGGCATCGCTCTGTCGGGAAATATGCCGGTGATCTCTTTCAACTTAGCGGCAACCTCCCTCAATGTTGGCCGCTGGCTCGGGTATGGATTCAAACCAATCAAATTTGGTATCAGAGCACGTCTTTGATCAACAACGGCGAAGAACAATAGTCAGAAATTGGAGCAATTGGAGGAACAATAGCCAAAAACTGGAGCAATTGGAGGAGATAGTGAATGAACATTTGGAAAGATTGAGGCGAGAATGGTGGATTTTCGAACATCAATGGCGAAAATGCAGAAGGAATGTTTGAAGATGCACTTGATGGAGAAAATGTTGGTTGAGTTGAGTGAGTTGATGAAATCGGATCGGGAGCGACAAGATTATGAGGTTCAATCACCGAAAATGTCGCTGCAACAGGCACCAATCGAAAAATCGTCGATTAAGCCAGTTGATATTTTGCAGTCATCATCTGCAATCAGATCGGTGGAGCGTTCAGATGATGATGTTGTTGACACGAATTCAAATGCGAGATTTGTCGGAAATATTGCAACAAAATTGAGGAGTTCTCTCGCGGGCATGCTTCCAAGAGAGAGAGAATCAGAGTCCGGGATCTTCCCAGTCAAGATCTCGAATAGAATGGAAGCAAAGCAGTAGACGTTGCCCGGGGGATCGAGGAGTGGGAGTTCCAGAAGATTCCGGCTTGAAGAACCTTCTTTGGATGGAGAAATGGAGTTGAGGAAAGTGAAGTCAGAGACTTTGGCGGCGTTGTCTTCGGACAAGTAGACAGAAGAGGAGTCTAAGTTGGTGTGCAAGATGGGATCGGGATTTAGGCTGTGCATGTGTTCGAGACAACAGGCGATGCCCATTGCTATTCTGAGTCTTGTCGACCAGTCCAAGTGGTCCATGTGTTGTGCTGCGCACCGAAAGAAGAATCAAATGCGAAGTCTTTGTTTGAATTGGTGTAAATTAAGATGAAGAGGTCTCACCGTGCAAATGCTCAAAGAGGGAACCGTTAGGAGCATACTCGAAAACCATCATTCTGGAGAATGGCTCGTCTTCTTGGCAATATCCGACCAAATTCAGAAAGTTCTTGTGATTCACTTTAGACAGCGTATCTATCTGCGAGAAAAAAAAAAACCAAAATAGCAGCAGCAGATTTCTTTGTTTAGATAGCAAATGATTTCCTTCCTTAAGAATGAGACACGGAGTTGAATTGCAGTTTACTTGTTGGAATACCTTTTCTTTGAACTGTGTCTCCAGATTCGAGGACCAATCTTCACGAGATCCTACAGCCAGAGATACAACAGAAATTTCAGCCCCACTGGACAAAGTTCCTTTATAAATAGTGCCGTCAGAGAAGGAGCCGATGATGTTGCTGAAATCTTCGCAGGCTGCTTGTAGTTCTGATAGCTTCAGTTTGGGGACAGCTACACCAAGATATGTGCTTTCGGTAAGGCCACAACAATGAATAATGATGTGGGGAAAAAGGCTTAGTCTTTTACCAGTTATAAGTGATGCTTGAAGCTGCCCACTTATTCCGGTGGCCCATGGCTTGATTGAAACCTTGTGGTTCCGGAAAAGGAGAAGGACGATGACGGCTACAGAGATTGAGAATAGTCCCACGAGAACGCCCACTGTGATATAAAGCTTGTTAGCTGGCTTACTCTTGTCTTTGAGAACACTGGGAAATGGAGGTGGAGGTGGAGGTGGAAGGGGAGTTTGTGCAGGGACATCTTTAGCAGGTGAGGAAGGTGGAGGAGGAGTCTGTCCAGGCGGTGGCGGTGGAGAAATTCTCTGGGAAGATGCCTGAGGTGAGGGTGGTGCCGCCTGGAAGAAGGGGTCAAGGTTTGGTGGAGTGAACTGAAGCAGCCTGCGCGGCCTGGCTGAATCTTTCCCTTTCCTGTTTTATGTTTGTAAGAAACATGAGATGCTGCATTTGTTTTTTTTTTTTTGTAAAAAAAAAAGATGAGAAACTTACAGAGTAATAATAAGCTCTGGAGGGTTGTGGAACATGAAGGGCAATGGTTCACTCAAGTTATTGTGACCCAAATCCAAGAGCTCCAGCTCCGGCAATTCCGTAATCTCTTTAGGCACATCTCCGGAGAATGAATTGTTTCTCAGCATTCTTCAAAACAGTTTGCACACCTTTGAGAACAGCATCCCACAATATGAACCAAGGAAGCACCATTGGAAGTTGTAACTCGATACTTACAGAGATTTCAAGTGTAGCAGCTTCCCAAGTTCGGGAGCCAGTGTCCCTTTGAGATAAAGATCTTTCAGGTTTCTGCAATGGCGCACACACACAAACAAAAAAAAGATGTCTCACTGAAACTCAGACATCAAACCAAACCCACTATTGAAAATTTCGCTGTAAAAATACAAAATTTTACTGGGGCCACTAATTTTGACTTTGGAGCTAACATTAAACCTAATGCAGAGAATCCAAACCAGGTCTTGACCAACATCATATGAACTGCTCATCTCGTCAAGTTCTACTTCCTGATTCTATACGGCTATGATGAATCTTGAATTTTTAAGCTATTACACGAAACAAAAAAAAATCGTAGGAGGGATAAATCAATAAACGAGAGAGAGAGAGTGTGTGTGTTATGTAATATGACTACTTACAAGATCACGACTTTACCATCTGAACACTCGATGCCAGACCAAGAACAATGAAGATATTCTTGTCCTTCTCCTTCGGGATTCCAGTTCATCAGAGCTCCAAATGGGTCTCTCTCGATTCTCTCTTTGAATTTCATAAGAGCCAAAGCTTCAAACACATGAAAACGGTTTAAGGATTTCGAAAAGCACATGATCAAAGAGAGAAGACAAACATCAAGAAACTACCTTCGGTGTTCGAACAGAGACAGAAGTGGAGATGCGCAAGGAGATGAAACAATAGGAAGGGGATGGAGAATGAAGGTCGGAGCTTTGCCGGATCGTATCTCCGCCGTCGATGGGATGCCATTAAGAAGAACTTTGGCCGTTGAATTTCGCTCTTCCTCGTGAATATGTAGAGAGGGAAAAGTAGGAGCAGTTGAGGTGGTCGTAAGACCAATCTACGGCTGCTGCTCTATTATTATTATTATTATTATTATTATTATTATTATTATTATTATTATTATTATTATTATTATTATTATTATTATTATTATTATTATTATTATTATTATTGTTGTTGTTGTTATTTTTTGTTATTGTTATTATTATTATTATTATTGTTATTATTATTATTATTGTTGTTGTTGTTGTTGTTTAACTTAAAAGAATTAGACGTTATTCAATTTATCTAATGGACCAATATATGAATATTAGATATATTACTTGCATTGCATCTTGTTGCACTTCAATTTTTTTGTTTAGTGATGTAATCGCGGAGATTAATATAACTATAACACAAGTATTATTAAGACCTCCATGCGGAACTTCTCGACTCAGTAAACGCTGACCACCTTTATTTTTTTTTAATTTCGATTTCTCTAATCAAATAACATGAGATTATTAATTTGACGCTTTCGTATCAAATTAATATATGTAATGTATGACAGCAATTGAGAACAAGTCATCCATCCTCTTCTTGGGTTTTATATTTTTATTTGTCAAGGTATTTACTTGGTGATTGTAAAATAACTGAAAATTATTATTCGACATTAATTACTGTATTTTTCTGGGTATTTTAGATGGTATATTACAAAAACATTAACGAACACGAATTGTTAGGTTGCCGCTGAGAAAATGATATAAAACTTGGTAATCTCTGGGTCCACTCCATAAGAAATGGACAGGCCCAAACAATGAGCCATCTTCTTCCGCAGGCCCATATAGTTTGCGGGATCATATCAGTGCATTTACTTTTTAAGAACAACAAAAATTTGATTGATAAAAAATAGAGAAAATGAATTAATGCAGATTGAAACAGTACCACAGATTGGAGAATATAAATTTGATTACTAAAATATGAAAAAAGGCACACAAGTAAATATCAGAATCATACAATTATCCCAATCCCAAGATTTACAATTGTTTGTCAGATTACTGCATTATTTTAGGCTGGAGTTGTCATACGAGGGCTAAGATGAATCAGACTAGAAGACATTCTAACAGCTGAGGCTATCTCCTTCAAATTTTCACATTTTACAAATCAGAAGAAGGATGAGAGGAACAGGAAGGGCACCTGATTAGACCATTCTCGTTGCATGAGAAGCATGTCCTGAACCCTAATTTATCAGAGTAGAGCTTGTGGCTGCCGTGGCATTCGTCGCAGGGAACGAAGCCCTGACCACCGCACCCTTCACAGTCTCCCGCCTCCACCCCCGCCATCCCTTCTACCATCTTCTTCAGCTCTCCCATCTCATGGAGCTGCTTCACCTCCTCCCCTCCCCCCACGTACCTTCCCCCTATGAACACCCTCGGCAGCTTCTGCTCCTCCTCCTCCCCGAATATCCCCCTTAGCTCCCCCGCGAACGACCCGTCCATCGCCAAATCTCTCTCGTCCATCCTTACCCTGAACCCTCTGAGGATCGATCTCACCGCTTTGCACTCCTCGAACGTCGTCCGTACCACCCGCAGGCTCGTGAAGTAGACGACTACGCTTTTGTCGGCCCCTGGAACCGAAATCCACACATCTGGTTCGAGCTTAGGTTTCCGCGGACTGGTCTCCTGATTGAGCCGGGGAGCAACCGGTTCGGAATCTGAGCGGAGAAGCTGGTTCTGGCTAGAGGGGCGAGTGGGCCAGGAAAGGAGGACGGAGCTAGCGAACAGAACTCGGTGGAAAACTCGGTTAGGGTTCTTAGGAGAAGAGGGGGTGAAAGCAGAGGAATCGTCGGTGCAGAGGTGGTGGATGTCTTTGAAGGAGAAGGATGGAGATGAAGGTGCGACGGCTTTGGTTGGAGAATAGGTGTCGTGAATCTTAACCGACGATTTGCCCCACGGCCGCCACATTGACGGTGGAGATATGTTTTGTTCGACTTTAGGGTTTGTGTGAATTTGCAGACAAAATGAAGAGAGAGAGAGGGGTTGGGTTAAAAAGCAGAGCAGAGGTTGTGATTAACAGATGGGATTAGCCACGCTAATTATAGTTACAATGTATTAGACCCTAATTATAGTTCAACTGCTGTTTCCTTTTGTACATGTATTATTTATTTATTTTCTTATCTCGGCGGTGACACTCCCAACACTTTTTTTTAATTATACATATATGAAAGTGTGAGTCATTGAAAAAAAAAAAACTGTCCCAATTAATTCCCAATATATATTTTCTCAGTTCAGAATCTCGGGTTTCTAAGGATGATATTATTATTTTTTATCTGCAACATTTGCTTGTGGTTTAGATCTCTCTCCATTAATTAAAAAGCCCAAATACAAATAGGCCCAATTAATTCCTTGGAGCTTTGGTTGTTTTTTGTGGGCTCAATTTCATCTATTTATTGAGTCCAAGTCTGGTAATATGTGTACTTGGGGGTTGGAACCCTGTGTCTGTGATGCTTGAAATTAGAGAAGATGGGGGCGAAACCAAAGCAGCTGTGTTGGGGGATGGAAGTTGACTGTGGAAATCAATGGGCCTTGCAAACCAAACGCTCTCTCCAACTTGCCTCTGTGTTATACATTCTCCAGGGGAATGCGCTCTTGTCTTGGCACAAGTGCATTGTTTGTTTTGTTGAATCGAGGCCTTCTTCTCTTTGACCATTCGAGGACAAATACCCTTCACTGCAGATATCTGCCGCACATGTCACCCAACGCTTCAACTCACTATACAAGCGCTCAAGAGTCCAAAGACTCTTCTAGTTATAATGGTATTCATTGGGTTGCATCACGCAGTTTTTATTATACATGGAATGTAAGACCACACTTTTTTTTTTTTTTAATCAATCACAATTACAACCATTCATAATTCAAATACTCAAGGCTAATCATGTAAGATCAGACATGAAATGAGGGTGAATGGGTATTTGCCCTTTTCTTGTTGCCTTCAGACATAAAGTAGTGTCGTCTATAGGCGACAGCAGACACCAAGTGGGTCCTCATCCTCAACACAAAGCCATATCAAACAACAAAAGCCCTCGTCACTTCATAGTATTCGACACCCTTTTTCAATTATTTTCTCGCATCTCGACATTTCCATCTCATTGAAAAAAATGATTGACCCTCAGCCACTCTTATCTTAGCATTCCTTTTGTAAGTATCACAGTGCGAAATGAAATCTTAGCAGCTATCAAACCATTTTCACATTTTCTTCAAACAGCCTCTCTCTCTGCCCATCATAAGAGAGAGAGGGAGAGTGGTGGGCAGTTTTATGAAAGTTAAACACATTCCTAAAAGTGTTACCTTGTTTTCAAGGGTTTCCCAAGAGAAATTCCAAAGACCAAGAGTTACATCTTGTGGGTAATGGAATTACCGTGAAAAGGCGCGGATCAACGTGGACAGAATATCAGAGATGTTTGGCCGTTTGGAGGGGGAACTGTTCCAGCATTTGGTCATCAGAGTTCGCAGGACTTGAGGGCAATCCTTGGGGATATCGGGTCGCAGACCACATGCTGCTATCCCAACCGCCGCCTGCACTGGCGAGCAAGAGGCGTACGCCGCCTCTCCTGTCACCATCTCCCATACAACCATTCCAAAACTATACGAATTGCTCATCCAAGTCTCCGTTATGTTCTCTGGGTCACCAGCAATTATCTGATAGAACAAAAAAACAAAAGTATAACCATCTAAGTGTTCAAGTTTCATCAAAGTAACTTTATGATCAGATACCAGGATGCACTCAAATGACTGTCAAGGAGAAACAAGAACAAGTGGGCTCCAGTAGAATGGACCATTTGTAATTGGGTTTTGCTAGTCACATTGAAAGACTTAAATTAAGGCATAAAGCAATTGAAAAAGCGGAATTACTAAAAACAAAAGCTAGGCATGCTTAAACAATGATGACGCAGGTGTAAACTGAAGCCACTTTTGGGAAGGTTAGATAGATCCTGATTGGATTCACACCCTCTACAGTGAAACCCAACTGAACATCCAACAACTACCCAACAAAAAGAAGGCAGAGAATACACGACCAAATAAAACGCGGAAAGGCTCTTTTACTAATGGCAATGTTAACTTGTTTTGTTTGAACTACTGCCTAGGATGAAAAAGATGAAACAGCAATACAGGCAATAAGCTATGAGTAAATTTCCTCCTCCAGGAACCTAGCTATGTTCACAAAAGATAAGCTGATGATAAGCATGATTCAATAACGAATTTTGAAGCAAATCACCGGGCACTTTTAGACTTTGATGATGCAGAACAAAATAAAAGGATACAAACCTCGGGAGCAAGCCACCGATAGCCATCTGTTTCATACTCCAAAGCCTCGCCAACACTCTTGCATGCTGTGACTATTCCCATATCTCCCAAACAGGCATTTCCATGCTTATCTAGTAATATTCTCCGAGTGTTAAGGTCTCTGTAAGCAACACCATGATCATTTATAAACTTTATCCCTTCAGCAATGTCAATTGCAATTCGCAATATCTCCCTAGTCTGAAGCTTCTTGTTCTTCAACATCAACTCTTGGAGTGATCCGCCTTCCATCAATTTGGTTATGACACACAACCCATGATTTTCGTCAATGCAAACACCATAAAACTGTAGAATGTTCCTGTGTCCACAAATCATCAGCTCCAATAGATCTTTTCGAAGCTCAAACTCATAAGAATTCCCCTTTTCACAGCCTTTTAGTTTCTCGATGCCCACTCTTTTTCCTCTGTAAACTCCTCTGAAAGAATTTGGTCCAATCTGATCACCAAACTCAAGATAATCAGAATTCAATAGCCATTTCCCAATCTCATCGCAACTCGATTGGATGGTCTGCCATTCATCTACTGATACAGTAAACGAAGAGCTTGGAAGTGGCATTTGAAGCTGAATCCTTGTGTTTGAATTTTCAATCCCTAGTCGATAACTCGACTCAATGGATTCTTCTTCAACATCCCCGAGTTCTCCTAACCTTGTGTTCTGTTCTTGACAACCGCAAAGCCCAAATGGTAGCTTCACAGAGGTCAGTTTAGGCTTCCTGACTGCAGATTTGAGGGCATTTTCTATCCGGGCTTTGAACAGCTTCTCTTGTCCCGATTGAACAACAAGAAGAACAACCCCAAGAGTCAACCCCTTCTTCTCGAAGATCTGTATCTTCTTACAACAAATCGAAGCACTATCAAGGGCCCCTGACATTGTTGACCATGAAAGGGACGAGTTAGAGGCAAAGGTAAACTTGAACACCAAACCCTGAGCTTCACCATCAGACACTTCTTGAATCATAAACGCAGGATTTTCGTCTCCAGAAGCTTGCTCTATCAATTTAATGTGTAGAAATACTTCTTTCATATCAAAACCAGCCTGACTGTAACTGTAGAAAGCAGTATCAAGACCATAAGCAAAATTATTGAGATAACGCCAGGATATACCAGCTATAATAACACATCCAGATCCAAACCCTTTTATCTGCCAGAAAACACTTAGATACGTCGATTCTGGGAAACCAAAATGGCCATACAAGGAATTGTTTTAGTTTTAGAATACATAGAAGAAGAACATTGCTTAAGCAGCTAAACTTGATCTGCTTCGGGAATCGAACCAGTGAAATTAAAATGACGCAATATCTTCAGCTTTCCCGTAAAACAGAAACAAGGCGACTGGGAAATTTTGGTTTACCTGAGGGGCAAGGAATCATAATGCCTCCGGAGATTCGAGACGAGCTTCTCCGGCAACTGGCTGCCGGGATACATCTTAGCAAGGTTCCGGACAACACTAGCCCACACAAGCTTCCTACCACCGCCATCGGTTTTAGACAGCGGAGGTCCGCCGAAGACGGAGGCGGAGGCGGGGGCTGTTGGCTGGTTGTCGCGCGCCGGGTCGAGAGTGAGAGAGCTCTTGAGCGATGCGATCGCGTCGGAGACGTTGCGGCCGAGACGCTGAAGGCGCTTCTGCATAGCGGAGGAGGTGTGATCGGGAGCCCCCGCCACCACCGGCGGAGAAGTGAGGACCTCGGACCTGTCGTGGGTGCGCATGAGGACCTGCTCCACCATGTCCTCATCGGAAGCGCCGGCACGGGTCGACCAGCACTCCAAGGCAGCGGCCATGGTAGGTCGTGGGAGAAGCTAAGCTCGGGATGAAAATGGTGGGTTTGTTTCAGATTCAAGGCTTTTCGTATTTTTCTGCAGCTGCTGCGGTAGTGGTGTCGATCGCTCGCTCGCTCGCTCGTAAATTTAAGCAGTGGGAATCTCGGGAGCCTTGATGAGTTCGCTCCACTCTTTCATTTCTTTCTTTTGCCCTCTTTTACTTCTTCTTCCTCCTTTTAACCAATTTGTAGTAATTATAATTCCATCTACTTATATGCAGTGTATGAGATCTATGTATTGGGCTTGGGTTTGGACTTGGGCTTGGTCTTGGGCTTCCGGCCCTCATACACACTATTTTTCTCTCTCTTTTTTTTTTTTCACTTTCCAAACCTTTTTTTTATGCTTCTCGGTCGCTTGACTCTGCGTGTGTCTCTCCCGATCTGCGAAGCCTTTTATAGGCAAAATATGCCTAACAAAACAAAAGACATGTAGGGCCCAAGGAGGAAAATTTCATCGCCGCCTTGCGGCTGCCTTGGCTTCGTTAGGCGGACAATTCAACATAATGGAGCCAAAAGCTTCTATAACTGAGATGTCCACACAAAGAAAGAACAATCCTCAATAGCCGAGACGATCCTGATGGGCTACCACGTGGTGGCTATTCCGTATCCGGGACGCGGCCATATCAACCCTCTTTTGAACCTCTTCAACTCCCTTGTCTCCGACGACGGCATCCTCGTCACTTTCGTCGTCACGGAGGAGTGGCTCCGCCTCCTCGCTGCTGAGCCCCGGCCCCGTTGCGTCCGCTTTGCCTCTATCCCCAATGTATTGCCCTCCACCACCGGCGGAGAAGTGAGGACCTCGGACCTGTCGTGGGTGCGCATGAGGACCTGCTCCACCATGTCCTCATCGGAAGCGCCGGCACGGGTCGACCAGCACTCCAAGGCAGCGGCCATGGTAGGTCGTGGGAGAAGCTAAGCTCGGGATGAAAATGGTGGGTTTGTTTCAGATTCAAGGCTTTTCGTATTTTTCTGCAGCTGCTGCGGTAGTGGTGTCGATCGCTCGCTCGCTCGCTCGTAAATTTAAGCAGTGGGAATCTCGGGAGCCTTGATGAGTTCGCTCCACTCTTTCATTTCTTTCTTTTGCCCTCTTTTACTTCTTCTTCCTCCTTTTAACCAATTTGTAGTAATTATAATTCCATCTACTTATATGCAGTGTATGAGATCTATGTATTGGGCTTGGGTTTGGACTTGGGCTTGGTCTTGGGCTTCCGGCCCTCATACACACTATTTTTCTCTCTCTTTTTTTTTTTTCACTTTCCAAACCTTTTTTTTATGCTTCTCGGTCGCTTGACTCTGCGTGTGTCTCTCCCGATCTGCGAAGCCTTTTATAGGCAAAATATGCCTAACAAAACAAAAGACATGTAGGGCCCAAGGAGGAAAATTTCATCGCCGCCTTGCGGCTGCCTTGGCTTCGTTAGGCGGACAATTCAACATAATGGAGCCAAAAGCTTCTATAACTGAGATGTCCACACAAAGAAAGAACAATCCTCAATAGCCGAGACGATCCTGATGGGCTACCACGTGGTGGCTATTCCGTATCCGGGACGCGGCCATATCAACCCTCTTTTGAACCTCTTCAACTCCCTTGTCTCCGACGACGGCATCCTCGTCACTTTCGTCGTCACGGAGGAGTGGCTCCGCCTCCTCGCTGCTGAGCCCCGGCCCCGTTGCGTCCGCTTTGCCTCTATCCCCAATGTATTGCCCTCCGAGACCCTCCGAGCGGCCGATTTCCCCGGCTTTATCGAAGCCGTCAATACGAAGATGGTGGCTCCGGTGGATCAGATACTCGACGGCCTCGAGTCTCCGCCGAATCTAATAATCGCCGACGGTTGCCTTACTTGGGCGGTGAAGATGGGCAATCGCAGGGATATTCCGGTGGCTTTGCTTTGGCCGATGTCGGCGACTATGCTCACTGCCATGTTTCACTTCCATCTTCTCGAGCACAACGGCCATTTCCCCGTCGACCTCTCCGGTAACGCATTTTCTTCCCACGTTAATTCGCTAATTATCTTAACTTGAATCAGAATTAGGCAAACTTTCGATTTATAGTATTCAATGTCAGGTTGATCTTTTTTATCAAATGCGACAACTTTGAAATTTATGTTCCCATCACATGGGAAAACAATAGCTCATCAGACTCTTGGATCAGTCATAACTGAAGAATCGTTTGATTTAGATTTGAGATATGTAGTAAAATCCACCTTTTCATATTTATCCTAAGTTAGGATTGTTGTCTGAAGATGATACAACATTTTTTTAACATTGTTACAGAGAGAGGGATAGAACGAGTGGAGTATCTCCCCGGACTTTCTTCAACCTCGCTGTCCGAGATTCTTGGAGGTTTCGGCGGAAACTATAGTTATACTTTGTCCACGTTTCGAGAAGCCATCTCTTTCACACCTAAAGCCAACTACCTCTTGCTCTCTACCCTCCACGAGCTCGAGAACCTTGCCATTGAATCCCTCAAGTCGGAGTTCTCAATCCTTGTTCACCCCGTCGGGCTTCTCCTACCACCTCTTAGTCCTGCACCTGATAATCTCAAACCCGAGTACACCAGATGGCTCGATCAGCGACAAGAAAACTCGGTTTTGTATGTGTCTTTGGGCAGTTTCCTTTATGTTTCAGAGGAACAAATGGGGGAGATAGTGGCCGGTTTGGTGGGGAGTGGAGTGAGTTTCATGTTGGTGGCCCGGTCTAAGGCAAAACGGCTGAGAGAAGCTTGTGGTGAAGGGTTGGTTGTGGAGTGGTGCGACCAGCTGGGGGTACTCTCCCATGCTTCCGTTGGTGGTTTCTTGAGCCACTGCGGGTGGAATTCTGTCAAAGAAGGTACCGTTGGATTTATAGGAATGATTTGGAATTGTAGTAAATTCCAAAAGAGCTAACGCATAACTAAAATGAGTGGAAACGGAGAGTCGACCCCAAATAAACTTGGCGATGTTGATGATTATTACATATCACATAAACTATATAGTTTAACTAACTTAAACAGTTAAACTTTACAGTATAGTGCTGTAGGCATAGTTTTTTTTTTTGGTGATAAAAGATCCCAGATCATTAGGTGCGGACGGGTCCCCAAATCTAATCTAGCGCATGTGATAAATTAAGACACTTCTTCTGGGTAATGGATGGTATTTGAAAAAAGAAGATATAAATAATGTTCATGATAGGTATATTATGTGGGGTCCCGTTCTTGACGTTTCCCATAGCGGCGGACCAGTTCCTGAACGGGAAAATGATTGTGGAGGAGTGGAAGATGGGATGGAGACTGAGGAAGGAGACAAGCAGGGACTGCGTGGTTATGCGAGATGAGATTGCAGCGATTGCGAGAGGGTTCATGAATGGAGAAGACGGACGTGTTAAGGATATGAGAAACAGAGGCAGAGAGCTCAGCCTAGTTCTCCGCAACCGCATTGTCCAATCCCCCCAAAGTAACATCATCAAAGCCTTCCTCCAGAGAGTAGACCTGACTTGAGAAGAAAACAAAATATGTAACATGTGTTTCTTGATGGAGATTTGGACATTTACCGTGGTCTGGTCCATTGTTTCTCTGGATCTCGTTGATGAGTCTTGCGTAACATTACCATGTAATCTTTTTACGTCGTATTGTGGATTCGGATTCCAAAAAACTATAGTGTCAATCATTGGCCCAACAAAGAATGCGGAGTCTGTATACCTTTGCAGAGTCTATATTTTTTTAATGTATGTATGTACCTAGACATATATAGGTTATATGTTTGTATGGCTTAGGATCGTCCCAAACCTTTTAATTATGACTTACAGACATGGGACTTTCATGATACAAAAAAAAAAAAAACAAATGTTTTAATCGTGTGATTGGGGGAAGACAGAGTAGTTACACACTTTCTCCTCTCGTTTGTCCATGTGGCAGCTTGCGTTTCACCACTTCTCCGCCCCATCCTCTCCTTCCATTCAGTCAATATATATATAGAGAGATAATTAAGCAAATGAATAAATAATCTGTGCGAGTTAAAACGTCTTGTGGTGTAGTGTTCCCCATTTGACGCACACAGAGCGAGACGATTATTGGATTGTTTCTTTCTCTATTTGCTTTGATCAATTTTTTTTTAATTAGAATAAATAAGCAGATGCGTATTGCATGGTTAGGGTATTGCCGAGGAGCGTTGAAGATGCCTTCAGGACGGCACGTTATAACGACGTGCGGCTTCCGGTGGTATGCCGACAAAGCCACAAGAGTGAGCCTTTCGGCATATTCAGGGGAGAGAATCCCCTCAATTATGACTTTTCTCTCTTCTTGCTCCACACCCTTGTTATCATTTTCTTCATCAAAGCCGTCACCTTTCTCCTCCGTCCCCTCCGCCAGCCTCGCATCGTCTCCGAGATCATTGTCCGTTTTCTCCTTCCTATTGATTTTGACATGTCAAAATGCCTCTATTTATATACACGTCTGATTACCACTCTCGTTGTCTAAACAAAAAAAAAAACAATTTATTTTGAAGGGAGGCATGATAATAGGACCGACGCTGCTGGGACAGAACCGGAGATTCAACTACTACGTGTTCCCACCGGTGGCAGATTACTTGCTGGCAAACTTGGGGGTTGTGGGTTTCATGTATTTTTTGTTCATCACAGGCGTCAAAACAGACATTGCAGCTGTCACAAAGTCCCCAAGGAAGCACAAGTACATTGCTGCCTTTGCAGTCGTGGTTCCTTTCGTATGCGTCAGCATTGTTGCCCTGGCCTCACGCCACCACATGGACGAAGGTACACGTCTATCTATCTTATATGTTTGGTCTATGTATAGTCGATAGATGTATAAATATTTGATGTGAGATATGATTATCATATGATGGGAAGGGTTCAAGAGGATATCAGTGCTGGGGGGAGTGGCGTCTTCGCTGGCCATCACAACCTTCCCGGTGATATACACCGTTCTTCAGGACGCGAATCTACTCAACTCGGAGGTTGGAAAGTTGGGCATGTCGGTGGCACTTCTTGGGGACTTCATCGGGATATTCGTTCTCGTAATATTCGAGGCCATGCTGCAATATGATGCCGCTGGTCTTATGGCCCTCCTCTTCTACCTCCTCTCCGTCTTTGTTCTTGCTGCCTTCATGTTAACTGTTGTGAGATGGGCTTTGAATTGGGTCATCCTCCATACTCCAGAGGGTAAACCCGTCGACCAGACCTACATCGTCTTCATTCTCTTGGGTGTCATGTTCACCGGCTTCCTCACCGACATGTTCGGTACCTATCCTTTTCCTCACAACCTCTTTTTTGTATGTGTATATATACTCTGCCAATCCAATGCATGATATGATATATACAGGATTGGGCGTAGCGGTTGGATCCATTTGGCTGGGGCTTCTGATACCAAACGGCCCACCGCTTGGTTCGACCCTGGTGGCTCGGAGTGAGACCATTATCGTTGAAATTCTGACGCCGTTTTCCTTCGCCTTGGTGGGACTCTACACCAACGTTTACCTCCTCACCCACGAGACTTGGCCTCAGCATCTGGCCCCACTCTTTGCCATGACCATCGTCGGCTACCTCGCCAAGTTCATATCCACCACCGCTGCTGCTTTGTTACTAAAAGTCCCCGCCAGGGACAGTTTCACCTTGGGCCTCATCATGAACCTCAGAGGTCAGATCGAGCTCTTGCTTTACTTGCATTGGATCGACGAACGGATGATCGGACTTCCCAGTTTCACGCTGATGGTACTGCAAACTTTGGTCATCACTGGCTTATCCTCCCCCATCATTACCCTCCTCTACGACCCCACTCGGCCCTACAGGAGCAGCAAGCGCCGAACCATTCAGCACACCCCACCCTCCACTGAGCTTGGCTTGGTTATGGCTGTCTCCGACCACGAAACCCTGGCCGGCCTCATCAGCCTCCTCGACTTCGTATATCCCACCATTACGAGCCCCTTTGGCGTGTTCGCCATCCAACTGGTGGAACTGGTGGGCCGAGCCGCGCCCGACTTCATCGATCACGAAGAGAGAGGCGAAGAGGGAGAGGACCGACATGTAACGGGCGGCCGGGAGGACCCCGTCCAGAATGCTCTGAGGCTGTACCAGGAGAAAAGAGAGGAATGCGTGAATCTACACACTTACACCGCTCACGCCCCAAAACGCCTCATGTACCACGACATATGCGAGCTTGCCTTGGCCAAGAAGACCGCCTTCATTCTCTTGCCCTACCAGAAAGAGCGTCTGGACGATGCAGCGCCCACCGAGCTACGGGACAGGGGGATGGTGACCGTCACGGACGACGTCTTGGCCCACGCCCCTTGCTCCGTCTGTATTTACTATGACAAGGGGCGCCTCAGGAGCCCTCTCACCCTGGACCACTCTATGCGTACAAGGAAAGAAAAGCAGAGATTCGCAGTGCTCTTTCTGGGAGGAGCGGACAACAGAGAGGTCCTGCACCTCGTGGAGCGGATGACAGGGAACCCCGACATAACCCTCACCGTTATACGATTCCTATCTCTGGGGCACGACGGGGACGACGAGAGGGAGAAGAAGCTGGACGACGGGGTGGTGACGTGGTTCTGGGTGAAGAACGAAGCCAACGAGAGGGTCACTTACAAGGAGGTGGTGGTGAAGAACGGTGCGGAGACGTTGGCGGCAATTCAGGCCATGAACGTCAACGATTACGACCTCTGGATTACGGGGAGGGGAGAAGGAATCAACCCGAAGCTTCTAGAAGGCTTGACGACGTGGAGCGAAGACGATCAGCTCGGCGTCATCGGAGACACGCTCGCAGCCAGAGAGTTCTCCAGCCACGGCTCCGTCTTGGTCGTGCAGCAGCAGGTCCGCAACCATAACACTCGTGTTAGTTTCTTCCACCGAAACTTTGACTGTAAAACTCTATTTGCTCACATTAGGGTTTTCTTTTTCATGTCTTTTGTAATATGATATAATATAAGCCAGCCAATGAAATTAAATTCAAGTCAAAGTTAAACTACAGGCCCATTGGGCTGTGATTGCGTGCACTTAGCCCGTACTCCGGCTTTAATTTGTTCCTGGGGGTGGGAGTGGGTAGGCGATCGTCTTGGCCAAGCGCCTTCTTTTTTTCTTCCTCCCGAATTTGGCGAGATGGAGGAGGAGATGGCGAATCGTCGAATTTCGAGTCGAACCCGTAGGGTTGCTTCGAAGATGGCGGCGGCTCTTGCTAGCGCCGACAATCGAACTCAGGTGTCTTTTCTCATTCCGAAACTGATCACTCTTTTGATTTGATTTTCAAAGATTTCGATTTACCACCGGGGGGGGTTCAGTGAGCTCGTGCTACTATTAGGCAGCTTTAGCTCGGCTAGAGGCGTTAGAGAACGATAATGCTGGAATTGAAGTTGCCGACACCAACGATGACGACGAAGCTTCTCTTGACGAAGAAGATGATCTAGGTGGAGCTTTCATTGCCAATTGTTCTCATTCCATTGATTCTTTTCTTCTTCTTTTTTTCCTCCAGTTTTTGAAATTCTAGAATTCTGTTGTCTTTTGGTGGTATAACAATTTCTGAGAATTTTTGTAGAGGCTCGTGCTCATTTGTAGTATCAGTTTTTTTTGGGGAGAAAGAATTCTCTTTGAATCACAGTAAAGGAGCAATCATCTCCGCAACTCAACGACATTTTATCTTCGGCAGGATACGTACAGAGGAAGCAGCCCAATGGAACCAAGCGTAAAACTCGGCAGGCCAAAGCCCTAGAGGCTCGCAAGGCCCCAAAATCATTCCTTGAACTCTTGAACGAGGTAAGTGGTTGTTTCTGGAATTAGGTTTACTGCCGTGGTGTGTCTGAATTAAGTTGTGTAAAAATGTAGGCCAATTTGGAATCTTTGCCTCCGCATGTGCCTTCCTACTTGAGAGCTGCCGTAGGACCTCCAAGTTCTATGTCTCGCCGCCGTTTCTGCACAGTTTGTGGATTTATTGCCAATTACACCTGCTTGTTGTGTGGAATTCGGTTTTGCTCCATCCGTTGCCAAAACATACACAAAGATACCCGATGTCAGAAATTTGTTGCATAGGAGAGCAAGTGAGATAGTTTTGTATAAGTCATTTTATGCTGATTCTGCGCTGTGTGTCTGATTCCAATAAGGTTTATTCTTTTTCTTTCTTCCAATTTTCGCTGCCGTTAAATTTTTTTCCTACTGGTTTGTGTTGTTCATAAGTCTCCTCACAATCTCTTTTCGTGTTAGAGGATATCTCAGAATTCAGTATTGCTACATAATACATTTACACTCAGTCGGTAGACGGTGGCAAATTGTGTCTGTTGTTTCATTATTTTGTAAAAGAGGTAACGTCAAATCCCAAGGAAAACCATACTAAGGAGAAAATAATGTATAGATACAAGTGTTCGAGAGCCTCCAAATCGAAGTGTTTGGATTTTGTCCTCTGTTTGGGTATCTCAACATTGGGGCAGGTCCAATGGTGGAGACTGTACTGCCTGCAATTCTCCGGCACCATTCTCGACCAGGAAGACCATTGCCAGGCCCCAGGCCAGGTGTGAGTCGATGTGACAGTGCATGAGCCAAGCTCCTGTGTTGGAAAACCAAGGTAAGACATCAATCCAAAAGATTTTTATCTCGTTGCTATCTTCTTTATACATTTTTAGAAATGTTGTGTAGGTGTGATCTCTGAAATATGTTTGTTCATGAACGAACCTGGATTATCGGCCACAAATCTGATAGCCACCCATCCGCCCGGAGGGGTTCCAATTGTGTTTCTTCTTGGTGGGTCAACGAGGTTGAAGCTGGTTGAATCTGTTCTTGGATTGAAGTTGCCAAATCCTGACCCTACAACATAGAACTCATAGCCATGGAGATGCATAGGATGATTTTCTGTTGTGACAATACTTGTGTCCTGCAATACAATCTGCACCTTCGATTTGTACTTCAGTTTGTAGGCTTTTGTTCCACGGACTGGTTGCCACAGCCCTCGGCTCACATTTCCTGTGTAGTCAAATTTCAGAGGAGGAACAGCAGGAAAATCCATGGTGAAAACACCAGGAGTGCCTTGGTAATATGCTTGCATGATAGAATTCCTTCTGGGGAAGATGAAGGAAACGTTATTCATGCTGGCAGTGAAGCGGGTGCCGTTGGGACCTTGACACCGTGGGCTGTTAGGGTTTAAGCAGTTGAAAAGGCCTAAGCCAACTGTGAAAAACAAGTACTCGTCGATGTCAAGGGGCACTTCGACCTTTGAGGGACTCTTTATCTGGTTTGTGAACGTTGTTGCCGTTGCTGTGTCATTGAATCCTGGTAACTGTGGAAATATTGTGGAGCTTGTAAAGGTTGAAGCTTGTGATTTGCCTTTTTGTGCAACACATGGAGCACTTTTGTATTCGAGTATTGCTGTAGTGGTGGTGTTATCAAAAGCTGCATTGGCACTGTTGTAGGCATGTGCGGCCATGTAGTAATTGGCTGGTGGCTGGTCTGCCGTAAGAAGTACATCAGTTGTTTGACCAGGACCTATCATTATGACATTGGTTGAGAAAGGCTTGGTGTATGACGCGTCCGCTGCAACTACAGTTAGTTTGTGGTTTGCGACACCGAAGAACAGCTCTTGGTTCAATGCAGAGTTAATGATCCTGAGGAGGACCGTCTCTCCTGAGTTTACAAGATATTTGACAGTTTCTGCTCAGAAGAACCCTTGTCAGACCACCATTAGTAGCTGTGAATAGTTTCAGGTCGCAGCTGATTTAACCGGAGCTTTACTTGCCTTGTTTTGAGCATCTGTAGAGATCACCGGGCTGACCATTGATGGTGAAGGAGTCTGATACGTTTGGTGCTGCTCCGGTGAATTGGGTCAATTGTAGGACATCCATGGGGTTTCTATCCCACCATTCTCCTGTACTAGTCGATTCACAAGCTTCTTTTTAGCACCAACTGGGTTGAATGGTAACCCAATGCTTTAGGGTTGTGAAATCGATTGGCATCTTATCCCAATTCAAACTAGGCATAGATCTAATGCCTTGAAGCATGAATTGCTAAAAAAGAGGTAGCTTGTCATGGGGGAGTCTATAGATTTACCTAAAAGGAGTGTAATTTCTCTCTTGGGAAGAACTGGAAAAGGGTAAGGAGAGCCAAGCTTAGGTCGGATGATGAGAGCTCCGTATACGGTGGCTCGGAGCCATCGACTGTGTGCATGCCACCACAAGGTACCCTCTTGCTCTTGAATTGTGAATCTGTACGTGTAACTCCCTCCTGGTTGAATAGGGCACTGCGTTATGTATTCTGGTCCGTCAGCCCATGGGTTCCGGACCTGTCGGATACCATGCCTGCAAAATTTCACTAGTTGGCTCTTGGGGGAAACACTAATAAGTTGCCATAACCTGATGGTTGGAGCATGTGTGTCCAGTTTTTCAAGCCGAATGATTTAAGTCAAAACACTTGTTGCCTTTGTATGTAAAAAAACGCTAACATTTAACGCAAGACATAGCAGACTTTCAACAGATATATCATGGATCGATTGTAGTTTTTGTACCAGTGGAAGCTGATGTTGTACTGCGCTTTGTTGATGGCAGTGATGGCGAGAGTATCACCGTCCTGTACCTCCAAGGTCGGTCCTGGAAACTGTCCATTCACCGTGATCACATTATGAACTATGCACAGCCTCTTGACCGGTGTTGCTTGAATCTGTCAAATCATACAAAGTACAAGTTTAACCTTGATATTTTTTATCCGGGGGAAGAAAGAAAGACAGTCGGGAGAAAGTCTCAGGCATCATACTTTGTCCAAACAAGAGGGGAAAAAAGACAAATGGAGATGTAAACATACAACAAACTCGTGGTAGTGAACTTGTGTGATGACGGATGTAGCTTTGAAAGGGAAGAAGATGAAGAGAAGGTAGAATGCCCATGACTCCATTGCGAAGTGATTGTGTGTTAAAGTGTAGATTTAGGGAGGGGGATACGATACAACAGTTGAATTGAGAGTAACAGAGAAAGTAAAACATATATAAGATAAAAGAGAAAAAAAAGAGATGGGAAAATGTGAAATGTTGGTTAAAGTTGGTATACGGACGGGAAGCCTGAGGAATGTGTCTCGTCTAACCGGAAAGAGGATTTGGTGCAACTACTAAACCAATGCCTTCTCTTGTTCTTCAATGGTACAGAACACGGATGTGACCGAAAAGGATCGTGAAATTCAACCCTAAATCTTAAACCATAATTCCTTTTTACATACAGTGATCAAGTTTCTATCTAATATGGTATATTAATTACCCGAGTCAGATCGACTCTCGGCCGTCCTATTTAATTTAATTCGTTCTTTATTTTCTCATGGTCCATAAAGAAATGCTCCTTTATCATCTTTCACATTATTGTCGTTTTCTTTAAATATAAAACAAAATTCATATGGATTATTCGTACCAATCGCCACTATTAAATTTGCACTCGGATATACTTCCTTGTATATGTGATGCAAAGACACGTCTTACGGATTATCTAAGAGGTATCTTATGATCCTGATGAGAACTCCTCAATTGTGTTTGTTTTCTTTTGATTCTTGATTATTTCTACCAAAGTTTGATTATCTATCTCAACTGTCACTGTTAAAATATTAAAAAATTGATAAACTTATTAAGAAAAACGGAATGAGATGTCATTATACCTATTATATCATGCCCATATTTTAAGATTCATTTCCAAAATATTTTACTAAAATTATTTTATGCATAAAATCAAAACACATCCAATAGAATTTTGTGTCAAATAATTTAAAGAACAAAAAACCAAGACATGTAATTCCTTTTCAAATATCTATTAATATAAACTATAATCCAAGAACAAGGTCAAGCCTCTAAAATCCCAGGAACTGGCCTCTTGAGCACCTTTCATAGATTCAGAAAGGGCCATTGACTTTTAACATTCCATTAGTTAGACATTTACTTTTTATATAAATAAATAGAAAAAATAATATTTTTCAGCTATAATCCTGTATAAATTTTTAATTTGATATGATACTACACCAAAATTCAAAATTTACCACAATCCATCACCAAATCCCGAAATTAATTGCAACGTACTACACGACATCAAACGACGTTAAAATGGTTGTACATGTTAGTGCTATGTCAGCATTCTAATTGATAGAAATCGTTCAATTTTAACATCGTTTGTCTAGGATATTGCAACTAATTTCGAGACTTGGTGATGAATTGTGTTAAATTTTGAATTCCTTTGTAAATTTATGTCAATTTACATAAATTCATGTGAGAAAATGCTATTTTTCTAAATAAATATTTCCGGTTTTAAATTCTCTCAACTATATTTCTACCCTTTTCTTTCAACTAGAAACATAACAAGGAAAAGAGAACCCTAGAGATCTTTCTACAACTAAGCAGGTCGAAGACTCTGAGGCCACAGCACTTGCCAAACAAAAGGGTAACTCAATTGGTCCAAATCCTTGAATTCTTTCTACAAACCTGAAACAGAACAAGATATTTCATCTCCTCATATGATATATTACTTTAATAAGTGAGACGCACGAGACTTTACCCGATTAACCCACGAAACCTGTGTAAATCATTCCCTCCATGTAATCATTTAAATCCTCGTACGTTAGTCTAGCAAGAATGTTTTGCTCCCAATCGAGATCGAATCCTAGACCCCATATTTCAAGACTCCGTAAAAAAAAAGAGACTTTCACATTTAAACTTCTATTTTTTCCCCAACGCTTCCAAAAATCCATATTGATCTAACACGATCAACTCCTACTTTTGGCACGAAAAGTTCGCCCGGAAGTCCAAGCAATTTGTCTTCCAGGTTTCAAGAATCTAATACATCAAATCAGAACTCCTCCTATAGCTTGGAAGACAAAGAACACCTATAAAACAGATGATTCGCCACAAAACCAACCCTTTCTTCATGACAACATATCACCACATGAAACATGGCCACTCATCCTCTCAGTATGTCATACCTGTTTCAAACTGAGTTCAGGAGTCCAAAAATGCAGAGGTTTGTGAATCAGAAAGGAGACTGGCACAAGGGGCAAGCTGACTTGTGAGAAGTAGAGAACCATTTGTAGAGACAGGCAGAGTGGAACTTGTGTTTGCAGGTCTTGCAAGCTAGCCGAGGGAGGTTGTGGTTCACGGTGTGAATCACGCTGTAACAAATGGGGCACTCCTCTACTCCTTCAAATTCCTTGTCGAAATTCCTTTTCCATATTCTTATCGCTTCCGCCAGAGCACCGTTCTGCTTCCAGTAACAAAAAGAAAAAAAGGGATCAAGATTCACAAATAATTTGTGATTGCCTATTCGTCCATAAATCAAATGTAATATGCAATTACTGGAAAAATAGTTGGAAGGGACTTAAATGGCACGAGCATGATAAATTATCTATATCTCCATTAATTGAGCAAAATCCATTATGGTATTTCATCTACGTGCTGGAACTGATACATCTAAAATTATACAGGATTATAATAACAGATCCATTTTGTGCTTTGTATCTCATATCCCCGGGAGAAAAGCACCATCAGAACTTGTCCATCCTACAAACCCAGAAGGAATAGAAACAAAGCCATGTGGGTTGGCGAGACACATATACATGAGAGTTGCACAGTACAGTACCTGATTACGAACAAACATTATCATAGACATTAACCATTTCCTCTGCTTCACCTCGCTGATCCCGAGACTCCTCATACAATCAACATCAACAGGTCTGAGCGGATATGAAACTGGGAGATGGATTACAAGATCCATCCCTGTTTCATCCTTCGTATAGGTAGCAACAACCTCGTTTGCTGATTTACTTACGCTGACCGAAAAGCTTTCATCGTTGAAATCTGCCTTCTTTATCTGCAGTTCACACAAAGAATAACAATTTATTTGTCTGATTTCATATTATTGTAGTGGATCTTCACTGCTGCATACATGAGCTTATCATCTCAAAACAAGAAAGGGATTTTGCTGCACATACCTGAGATAGTTCGTTCTTGATTAAAGGAGGGCTGCACCATGATCTTGTAAACGCTTCTATCAAAGTCGATGCAGAGCGATCACGAAGTTCACTGAACCACTCTCTAACATAAGCTGGAAGTACACGTAACATCAAACCATACAAGGCCCCAGCAAGTGAAGCCACTTGGTCAGTTTGGATCGGCCACAGTGATTTGACTGAAGACAATGATGAACCTGTTGTAATGGCTCGTGTTGCAGCAGATGCTACCACAGATAACTCAGATAGAAGATCGGCGTCTTTCTTCTTTAAGCTATTTGCATTGCACAATTCTAGAGGAATATGCTGGAAAAGACAGTCTAGTATCACTGGATTCGCGGAACTCTGTATATGCTCCACCAGTTTCTCCCGTCTTTGTGATAAGGGAGGTAAAGACGAGACATGCGAGAGCAACAAAGACCATGCCAGGAATGTTTGCACCTGCCACCAGAAACAATTAATACAGTAAAGAGACTCATAGTTTCTGCCAGTTAGGTCATAGAACACCAAAGAAGGATTTTGAAAGGGAAAATTTACCCGCTCCGGTGCCGTTAAATCCGTATCAAGAAACTCATAGGTTAATTTCTCAACCATGCAAGATATTTCGTCCCTTAAGCATAGTCTCTCTTCAGATGGTAACTCAACATTGCCAGAGTCCTGATTATTAACAACCTCTTCGTTCAATGATGCTGACCCTTCAGCAACAATGGCCAGTCTGGAGATAGGTTCAGTCGACAAAACAACATATGCTGCAAATTGCAGTGATGGGATGGGTTTAGAAGAAAACAAGATTGCATACAAAGAACTTATGGCTCCTTTGCTCAGACCCCAAAATTCAACAGCTTTGACAGCTCTATCGAGAGCACGAGGAGAAGAGTCCACTACAAGAGAAGCCACCAACTCCCAGAAATGCAAATGATTGAATCGAGATGATGCAATGATAGATGCTGCCTCATGAGAATACGAATCAGCAATGGCCTCAGCAAGACCGGTACAGAAGAACAGACGTAGAATACCTTCAAGAATCCTATCTTTAACTGGGTCCCATGTTTCATTCGTCAAGGATGTTAGGCTGACTTCATCTTCAACTAGTTTATGTTTCAGTAATGCATTAAATGAGGAAAATGCTGATAGAGCATTCTTAGCATTATCTATAGAAGGATCAGTAACAGAAGCGATGTGCCAAAGTCTTTGAAGAGTTTCGTTCACCTTCTCTGCAGAAGAAATTCCAGTGATAAAGCCATTAATGTTCTCAGAGGTTTCCTCCATCCCAACTACTGCAGACTGAATCAATCGCTTCAAGTTAGAGAAGACAAATTCCCAATCTTCTTCGTTAAAGTCATTTCCACAGTACCTCACTGAAATCACTATTAGTTTTGATAGCAGCGTCTGCACAGCAGGAAGCCGGTTAACCACACTTGCAGCATTAGGACCTTGCTTTTGTTTGCGGAACAAATTGAGCAAAAGTGTTCTCTCTTCATTGCTCACACACCTCTCCTGTTTATTTGCTTCTTCAGTTTTTTCACTCACAGGATAACAAGAGATAACTAGCTGAAACCAATCCTGCATATCTAATGAATACAATGAAAACAAAAATCATCTAAGCATCAAAGCAAAGAAGAAAAGGAACAAAACCCAAGAGATTGAAGTGCTTCTTGCCATGTACATCAAATACCAAATATGACTACAACTCATCAAGCAAGGATTAGAGAATCATGAACTTTTTTGTTGTTTCACAGGTAAACATCCAATCTACATCCCCTTAGACGCCAAATCCATGGACTTCAAGCAATGTTCATTTTCAATACAAGATAAGGTCACTAGCCATGAACACCAAAACGACAGAAAAAAAAAGGAATGAAGACTTACCTTCCTCGCTTCGCCAGATTACCAGAGGGGGGAACAACAAAGTTTTCTGCAGCCAACCTCTGAGGACAACATCTAGCTCCTGCTG